GCACACTGCCCACCCGAAGTCCTAAGTGGCAGGGAAAGCCCTATTGGTGACACCTCCCTCATCCTCTAACCCCAGACAGTACCTCCTTTGACTCCTCAAGTGCTCTCAATCCTGGCCAGTCACCGTCCCTTCCAAGGCCCACTTCTGCAGGCACCACCGCCAGCAACCACAGAGGGGCCCTCACAAATCTTCCTGTCTTCTCTCTACCACTCTTTCTCCCATCCTGCTGTGTCAGAGACCCTTTCTAAAGCACAGACCTGGACGTGCCATTCTGCCGCACGAACACTTGCTCTGGCTCCCAATTTTCAATAAGATAGTCAAAACTCCTTAGCAGTGAAGGTTTTCACACCCATCGTGCTGTCTTCTTTACCCACTTTTAAAGACCTAGAGCAAATATCACTTCCTTAGTGAAATGGCCTCCAAAGAGTTAAAACCAGCCCCGAGTTAATACTTTGTAAAATTTTGTACACACTTTTTTACTGTAGTAATTATATTAAAGCATAATTGTTTTTATGCTTTTAAAATACGTTGCCTCTCCAGTAGAATCTATATTCTGAGGAATATGTTTTACTCAACCTGTATCCCCATAGCCTAATAGTGTCTGCACACAGACGGTGCTTAATAAATGTTTGCTGAACGAATACATGAAGGAATGAATTCTGGAGGGCATTACCTAAGGCACTGTAATGGCTAGACAGAACATTTTTTGAAACTGTAGTACATGTAAGATGCTATGTTAGCCTTTCTGGGGGCAGAAAGATGAGATGGGGGACATTCCCCACCCACAAAAGCTATTATAAAGCACCCCATGTACTCACCAACAAATTGGTATTAACTGATCAACACTTACGTGCACTATAGTAGTAACGGTCATCAGGTGTTGGGCAAGTGGGGGGCAGGAGGGGATGGATATATTCACACCTAATGGGTACAGTGTGCACCATCTGGGGGTGGACACACTTGAAGCTCTGGCTTAGGCAGGGCAAAGGCAATATATGTAACCTAAACATTTGTACCCCATAATATGCTGAAATAAAAAAAAAATAAAAATAAACCAAAAAAGTAAAAGTTAAAGAATATGTTTAAAGATTGTCATGACATTTTCCTATAAAAACACATAATAGATTAACACAAAAAAGAGGTATTATAATCTAGAAAACAAATAGTATAGATTATAAAATATCAATTATGATACTTTTCATCTAAAGAAACTGTGTTGAATTATTATAATGCATTACTAGATATACTAAGGTTGAACTATCCTTGCATTCCACAGATAAGTACAATTTAGTCAAAAGTATTTTTAAAATATGCACTGAATAGGGTTTGTAAATTTTACTTAGGATTTTTGGAACTATGTTCATAACTGAAACTAGTTTATAAGATTCATTTGTGTACACCCTTTTCCTGGTTTTGGTAACTCCTCTCACCCCCTTCTTTGAAAAAAGAATATTCTTTTATTCTCAGGAACCATTTGTTCTTGATACATTTGTTCTTGATACAAAAAGGGTGTTCATTTGGTGTACACCCTTTTTCTGGTTTTGGTAACTCCTCTCACCCCCTTCTTTGAAAAAAGAATATTCTTTTATTCTCAGGAACCATTTGTTCTTGATACATTTGGTAAAGCTCACTTGGTTAAATCATTTGGATCTGTTATTTTTATGAGTAGACCTTAAAAATACCATTATTACTTTATGTAGTTATAATTAAATTTCTCTCTTTCTTCTTGAACCAGCGTTAAGAATTTATATTTTAAAGAAAATGGTTGGTATTGTTTATAACATTATTGTGATTTTTAACAATAGTTATAGCCCTTTTTACTTTACTAATATTGTTTACTTGGGAATTCTTTTTTTCTTAATTTTATAAATGTTTTATTCATTTTATTAATATTTTCAAATGACCAGCTTGGATTAATTTATTTATTCTCTTTCTTGAGTTTCTTTCTTTTTTCTTGTCTTCCTTTTCATTAATTTCTGCTCATTTTAAAAACCTTCATTTCTGAGAAAGGTATAATTAAATTTCCCACTCTGGTTGTGGATGTGTCAATTAAACTATATCAACTTTACATCTAGACAGTTTTCTGTTGAGGAAAAATTGCTGAGTTTAAGTGCTATGTCAATATTGGAGACTTTTTTTTAGTAAACTTAGAGGCAAAAACAGCTTTAGCCAATAATGCCTAATTTTTAACAGTTTTTGTTTTTATTTTAAAGAAATTTTTTAGTTAGAAGTTGGGCTAAAGCTTAGTTCAAGTTGAATCTATAATTAGATTTAAAAGTTAGATTTAGATTTTTATTATTATTGCCTTATACATTTTGAGATTATTTTGCTGTTATATATGGGTTTTGAAATTCTCTTACCATCCTTTTCTCATTATATAATGACTTCTTTTATCCTTGATAATGCCTTTTTTCGCCTTAAGGTCTAGCTTATCTGAGGTTAATATCAATATAGCAGATTTCCTTGGATTAAGATTTGTCTACTGTATCTTTTTCTATTCCTTTCCTCTCATAACTATTTTTTATTCTGAGTGAAAATCTTGTAAAAATTATGTAGATGGATTTTATTTTAAACACTCAGTAGATACTGTTTTTATTTTCACCAACAGATTCAATCTATTTACACATAATGAGATCAACATGTCAGCTCATTTTTACCTTATTAGTTTTTGTTTTGTATTTACTGTTCCTTTTTTAATTCTTTTCCTTCTTTCTTGCCCTCTACTGAGTTGAAATGCTATTTTTATTCACTCTTTTTATTTGGAACTGTGCATTCTATTTTTCTATTCTTTAAATGGTTATACTTAAAATTTATATCAAAGTTATAAAGTTAATCAGCAAGCCTGCTATTCTCCAGTCCACTACAAATTCTTAAACTGTTTTAAATCTACATGCCCATCTTGTTTTCAACCACACAGATTCAGTCATTATTGTTGGAACTGTTATTTTAAGTAGCTTCTTTACATTTATTCACATTATTTTGCTTACTAGTGCCTCTGACTTCCTGCCCTGGAAGCTTGAGATCAATTTCCTGCCTACTGAGATATTCTTTGTTAGTCATTCTTTCTTGGTTAGAATCTCAGAGTAGTAAATTCTCTCATCTTTGCATAGAAATGTCCATTTCACTTTTGTTCTTGTAAGTTGAGTATAGAATTACGGTTGACAGTAATTTTCCCTTAGCTCTCTGAAGTTTTAATGCCACAGTTGCTAAATAAAAAATAGATGTTGGTTTAATTGTCATTATTTTGTACAAATCTCTCTTTTGTCTCAGGTGGTTGTGAGAGTTCATCTCTAGTATCCTGCACTGCCTTTATGAGCCATCCTGGACCGCGTCTCTTTTTGTTCTTCCTGCTGGGACGTGGTGGGTTTTCGTCAAGAATTACCTTTCATTGACTCAGGGCCAGCCTCGTCATGCTCAGTTTAAACATAGCTTCTTACTGCGTTTTTTTTTTTTTCCATTATGCAATTTCTATTAGATCTATTCTGTTCTCTTGAAGTTATTTTCTCTGATTTTTCTATTCTCTTGTGTTCTTGGAGGTGTTAATTCTCATTTCTCTCATCCTGTGATTCTCATTTACAGGGGCTTTTTTGCACTGTGTGGTTTGCAGTTTTGATTTGGGGCTCATCTTTAATATTTTCATTGTTAATTTTTTTCACATGGACATCTATCTCGTGTAACGTGGGTTGCAGAAATATCCCTATAGAGCATTTCGGGGTGGGCTTCCGGCTGGGTCTTTGGGGCTTTCTCTGATTTGGGACCAGTTTTGAGGTCAGTATCTTGACTAGGAACCCCATTCCTGTGCTGGTATTAAAAATTTGGACACAGGCCTAGACCATTTCCAACGTCTACACACCAGACAAACTGGGGGTTCGATGTCTCTATTCTTTGTGAAATCTTTTCTCAATCCAGAACACCTGGCAGACAATGCTCTGTCGTGCCCCTTCTCTGGATTGGGAGACTTCTTCCTCTCTGTTGCAGCAGCTCACGTCTCTTGTGAGAAGTGAGACATCTTCCCAAAGAAACATCTTCCCAAAGATGTTTCTCTGGGGAAACATCCGCTCTTTGTGTCTGCCCCGTGGGGATTTCTCTGACTCTCTTTCATGTTTGACCGGGCATTAGCAAAAATTCCTACATGCTTATATTTTATCCAGCGTTGCTATGTGTTTTCACCGAGCGGGACGGCTACAGCAGCTCCCTCCACCAAGCTCCTGGCGGGCTGAAGGGACCGGGTTTGTAAGTGCCAAGCGCTCACACCCGATAAGGGAAAGTGTTGGCATGACAACGGCTACTTGACAACCTCCAGTGGTGCACGTACAGCCTGCTTCTAGTCTCACCCTTTTAAAAAACAAACACCCACAGCTCTTTCAAACAAGTGACCCTCCGAGCGCTCAGAGGCAGCGACTCTGTCCGGTTCTGAACCCCCATTTCCGGGCGTGGCCGGTCACAGACAGTGCACAGTCAACAGTCAAATTTTGTTTAAGGAACACACAAAATGAGCATTTGTCCAGTTTACATCTGAAAGGTCAAACACCAGAAAAGCTGCCTAAGAGGTAATAAATTTTATATCATAACACCTTAACACCTATGATATGGAACCACACCAGGGGCACGCGCGCAAGAGGTTAAGCAGAGTCAGTTTTCCGCCCATCAGCGCTGGACGCAGCAACGTTCGGGCAGGCACGAGTGCGTTCCACGCCGCCTCTAACTTTGGCTGGGTTTTCTAAAAAGGATTTGCGCAAAGCAGCGTCCACAGTCCTTGGAAGGCAGTTTCGGGGCCAGCCTATTCCTCCAAGGGCCGTCCTGGCACATGCCTGGCCAGAGCCAGGTGCTTTCGAGGTTACAACGGAACGCTCCGCGACACCCAGGAGCACACCACAGTGCTTCCCGGGGCCAGAGTTAGGAATGTGGGCACGTGGCTTTGCTCAGACTAAAACAGCCATAAAGTTGAAGCACAGACTCGACAGCATGGTATCATGGGGACCCAAATGTGCCAGAATTACCGTGTAATTTCGAGTGAGGGAGACATCAGTACCATCTTGCAGATAGTGGGTTTCCGTGAAACTGCTGGCAATGAGACCTCTGTGGAAAGATAAAACAACATAGAAAGATGAGCTCAGGACCGCATCGGTATGTTGCTTGTGAACGTCTAGGCCATAGGGCAGCAATGTGTGGCCCCTTCTTATTTTATAGATCATCTGATGAGGCTCCCCAAAGGAGTTCGACCTGTTCGGGTTACCCAGGGCGAATTTGGAAGAGACACAGACAGGCAGGAGTCACACATGCGTGCTTTGAACAGCGCACACGTGGGGCAGGCACACACACGCCCGCGCGCACACACATTCTTCTGCGAGTACAGGCGGATTTCGGACCTGGGAAAATCACCCTCCGGGAAGTCTCAGGCTCTGCTGACTAGAATTGATGGTTCAGCCACCTGCTGGGAAAATAGTTTTGGATCACGCATTGCCCCTCCCCGCTGGTTCTCCTGCAGGTGAGAGAACCCGCTGACAACAGTGAAATGTCACAGAAGAGATTAGAACAACAATGAAATGTCAAAGGCAGCGATGTATATATGAGGTGAGGAAAAATGATTTTGGACACACTAAAATATTGAATTTCTAAGATAAATTGAAAGAGGAGAAACCCCCCCCCCCCGTTACTCCTAACTAAAACCGTATGTGGTCAACTAGATCTTCACTGAAGAGAGCAAAGCATGGGTTATGCAGGTTTCAAATTATTTTTCCATTTCTTATATAACGTGCATGATTTTATCCTTATATAACGTGCACGATTTATTTTTTATAACACAGCAAGTCCCTCCTGTGCACCTACTATGTGAGAGTGGCTAGCTGGTAGGATACAAAGACAAGGAAGCCCAGCCCCTGCTCTTGAGGACACTGTAGCCTGGCGACGTGACAGACAAATAATCCAGCGTGGGGAGGGCCATCGCAGCGCAGGACCCGGTCTTCCCCAGAGAACAGACCGTGATCAGTGGGGTGTGGGGAGGGAGGGCTTTGCAGAGGCAGCTGCCGGCTCCTTACAGATAAAGCAGGAGCCGGCCAGGCACGGGAGGGGCGGGAGGAGAAGGGGATTCCAGGCAGACCACGGCAAGGCCAGGAAATCTGGAGTCTGGAATCTGGGAGGCAGGTTGGTGCTAGACGGGGAAGGGCTTTAAACAGGACCTGGATTTTATCTGTCTGGACAGTAAGGAGACAAGAGTTTTAAATAGTGATGGTGCTGGTGCTGTCTGCCCGCCCCGTCTCCACATCTTCAAAGATGCTCTTTGCGCCATCTGGTTCTGGGGGGTGACAGGCGCCTTGTCCCCCCAATTCCTGACCCAGAGATGAACACGTGACCTGAGCAGCTGAACCAATCACAAATCCTCCCCACGGCGGCATGCTCCGAGCTGGGACTTCTGGGGACGAGGTCCTTCCTCTTGGTTCTCAAGGCTCTGAGGATGCAACCACAGACGTGACCCCCGCAAGAGGGGTGTGAAGGAGGGAGGGGGCTGGCCCAGGAGTGAAGGCATCTCCCCACAGGGGGTTCTGAGTGGAAGCAGAAAGATGGGGACGGGAGGGGAGCAGCGGGAGGAACGGGGCGGAGCTGCAGAGGTGCGAGCAGGAGGACACACCACGGCCCGGCACCCAACTGGGGCAGGACCCGCCACGGCCTCGCTGGTCTTAGCGAAGGAGAACAGTGGGTCAAAGTGGAAGAGAAAGAAAAAGAAAGATTTAACGTATTTTAAATTACATCATTCCTTATATTGTTTACTATTCGTTCATACTTTTACTCATCTCACATTTTATTGATAATTTAGTAGTTCGGGGCTTAAGAATGCTGGATCTTTATTTCGAATGAATGGGTATGTAACTACCAAACATTACAGTGACATGGGAAGAAGTCTGCAGGACAGACATGGTTGGAAGGCTCCCGTCCGGGCCTAGAGGGGAAAGCTCATCGTGGGCACAAGAGACATGGAAAACCCACCAGGAAGGCTCGGGATTAGACAGGACGAGCTTTTGCTGGACGGCTGTCAGCGAGTGCGTGGTGGACACAGTGATTTTGGGGTTAGCAGCAGTAAAAATAATTGGAAGGTTTTGAAAACATGACTACTCAGGACAGCAACACAGAGCCCTATGAATGCTTTTGCCTAAAAAAAAAAAAAAACCTATTGCTTTTCACGGCCATCCAAACGTCATTTGAGTTAAACAGGAATACAAGCCCAGCCGTACTCTGAGCTCCAGAGAGTTCCTAAGTACTACTGTGTGTTTCCTCCTGTCGGAAGGAGGTGAGGCGGGGGCTTCTGCTCACGGCCCCCGCGTGTCCCACCGCGGCCCAGCACCGAGCCACGTGCTCCTTTTCGGGTTTTCTCATACCATCTGGAAGAGACACGTTGATTTACAGCTCAGATGCTGTCGTAGCACTTGTGTATGTTGTGTCTCCCCAAGGCATTTTGAAGGCTAGGAAGGGGAAGAGGAGCGGAGGAAGGGGACAAAAGCCAGCAAGAACGGTGCTCGGTGCGCGACAGGCTCTCCAAACGTGCAGAGTGGATGCCACGTGCTCCTACCGCAAAAATGAGGACCCCGTGAGGCCAGGCACTTGCTAATTAGCTACGTTTAACCATCCCGAGACGTACACACGCTTCAAAACAATATGTTGCACACGACAAAAACATGCACCGATCTGTCGATTTAAATGAAGAAAAGAAAGCAAACCAAACCCCCCCTAACTGACGCCTTGCTCCTGGCTCTCCAGGCGTGCGCCCCAGCACCCTGACCTGGGAGCTCTCGGGCTTTCTCGAGCCCCGGTGTCACACGTGGGGACCGGCGTGAGAGATGGAGGAAGGTCCCCGGCCCTCATCTGAGCTCCCGCCCAGCTTGGACGCCCCAGGGTTTGTGCTTCTGCAGCGGTGGCTCTGGGAGTCGGTGTTGTGCGACCCACACCCTTGGAAACAGACCCCATGCTGCGGGGCCCTGCTCTGACTTCCGCCCAGCGCCAGCTCAGGGTGTCCCCAGGTCCCACCAGAGAGCATGTCACCCCCCGGAAACCCTCCAGCGCCTCCCTTGGCCCTCGGTGCCAAACCCCCGCATCTCCCCACAGCCTCGGAGGAAGTGCCCACGAGCTCCCCCGCCACCCTCCCACCGCACGTGCATTGTGCCTGGTTTCCCTGTGGCACACCCTACCCCAGCCAACACCAGCTGGTTCTAGAACATTCCAGACCCTCTCCCACCTAGGCCCTTTGTGTTGGCTATACCCTGTGCCTGGAACATTCCTCACATGCTTTTCAGCAGGCTGGCTCCTTTTCATCCTTCCTCTGGGTTTAAACACCGTCTCCCCAGGGGCCTCCCCTGCTCTCTTACACAGAGCAGCTGAATCACCACCGCCACCCACATCCGGGAACTCCTCTGGTTTCCCGCACAGACTCCCGTTTTGTGTTTGCGTCTGTCTGCTTATCTGTGCATTTCTCCCGTCGAGCTCCTAAGCCGAAGGAGGAATCTCTGCTCATGCCCGTGTCCCTACCCTCCAGCCGGGCAGAGCCTGCAGCACGTACTCTGGGCTAAGCCCTTTGTATCTCACTGAATCCTGATAGCATCCAGCGCTATGGGTTAGACACTGTTTCTATCCCAATTTAGAGGAGGAAACCGAGATACAGGGAGGCCAAGTGACCTGCTCAAGGCCCCACCCCATGGTGGCAGCACCCAGGTGGGTTTGCTTTGGAGCTTGTGCTGAACCGGACACCTTACCAGCTGGTCAAGCGACATTTACTGAGCGTTAGCTGCAGGGGTGCTGTTCTAAGGGCTGAATGTGTTGAGTAGATAGATGAATGAATGAATGAATGAATTTGAGAACCTGGCAGGCGCTGTCCCTGTTGCTCAGGGGCCGACACACATCCCACATCCTGCTCTAGTACCGTGGCTTGCTGGGGAGCATGGACAAAACCAAGAAGGTGCTCGACAGAGGCTTGCTAAGATGTGTGTCTCATTTACAAGGGGCTGGACATGAAAAGCCCCTGGAGAAAGCCAAGAGGGTGGGCGGACAGTGGCGACTCTGGAGATGTGGCGGCAGCAGCCTGGAGCCTGCAGCTTTCCCTAAAGAGAAAATCCAATTATATGGACCCTCTCGTGTCAGCAGATGGAAACAGAAAGTGAATGCGTAATTTCACGAGAACATTCTTTTTCTCTGCTTATTAGATTAGCTGATCTAACGAGGCATTCTGTTTCTCTTGACACCAGAAAATAAAATGCATTTTAAATGTGCCAGGAGTTGATTTTGCCATTTTTCATTTGTTCTGCTGTTGGAAGTAACACCTAAATATTTTCTCATTTATACTCCAAGAGCTGCCACTGGGGAAGGATGCAGACCAGGGTGGCCAGAGGTCCCATAAGAGAGAAATGCCCAGGGCACTGTGGGGGTTCCAGGAATGGCTCCTAACCCAGCAGCTGCCCGGGGAGGTGGCGCCAAAGTGGTCGTGAAAGATGGGGAGGAATGAGTTGGGTTGGGGTTGGTGGGGGCTGGAGAGGAGAACATTCCAGATAGAGGTGATCATGCCCTCAAACACACAGGGGGACAGAAACAGCCTCTAGCCGGTGATGAAGTTAGGGGACATGAAACTACATGGAGCTGCAAGTGGTCAGGGTGCAGGAGGCTGCGGGCACATCCCACAAGTTGCCAAATGTCACTGACGTCAACCCACGTCATGGTGAACCACCGAACACAGAAGCGACCGGAGCAGATACCAGCTCCTGAGGGCTAAAAGGCCACTCTGACAGCCGTGTGGCTGAGACTTCGAGGGGAAAGAGACAGACAGACAGCAGGTTATCGGGGCAGCTGGTGTGAGTGTCCAAACACGGCACCAGGCCAGGCCACGAGCCTTCAGGACAGGAAACTGAGGAGGGGCCCAGAATCAGGAACCGCATGACAGCGGCCAGGGACCTCGGCGGGTGTCAATGGAGACAGGTGATTCCTTACAGCAGAGAGAGGACACGAGTTTGGTCTCAGCCACGTTGAGTGTGAGGTGCTGAGAGAGGTTCTTCTGGATGTGTCCGGGAAGCAGCTGACTCCATGGAGTGCAAGGTTTGGAG